GGGGAAGTAAAGTTCCCCTTCAGATCATATTGGCCTACCCATGGCCATGGGGAAATTGAAGCAGCGTTTACAAGTTTGAGTGTATGGCCAGCGCAATAACCAGCCAGCTTTACTTTTGACCAGCTAATGCCAGAGCTGGGTAGAGCTGGCCAATATGCCCCTCCCCATCTCTCACATGGCCACCTGATGCAGCCACCTCTCTGCATGGGCTATTCCTGACAGAACAATTCTAGACTAGGTGATATATCATAGGGCTTTTAAAACACTAAACGATACCCTATCAAGCTTTGACATCATTTTAAGACCTCTCTACAATGGGTGAAAGTGAGTCTACACGAAGAATACCGGTACGGGTACAATTTTTATTACTGGTATAATATTTAATATGAAATACCAGAAAATTAGTTATGTCTAGGAGTAGGAGGTTTGACTGGATCTATTAGTAACACTCTATAGGTCGAATAGACCCTATGTTGGCCCCTAACAGAGCAGATGTAGGCACAACTAACTGTCCTATATCCAATATATAGGCTATAGTTAGGCCTATTAAATTTTTAAAATTTAATTTGTTCATAGCTTCGGTTATGAAATGTGCTTGTGCCATACTCATTAAAGATTCTTTAAAGATCCAAATCTCCTACACTACTTAAAACTACACCCCCACCCCAGCTTGGAATGTGATCTAGAAATGTGCGTACTTATGGGATCATTTCTGTCTAACAATAACGCTCTGCATTATAGACCCACTAATTATCACCCAATAATAAATTTGTATGCGTACATGGGCGCCCGCAGTTAGGGGCAAGTGGGGGGCACTTACCCCCNAGTTTTCTGCGGGCGCCCATGTATGCGTATACTGATTAAGCTAAGTAACTAAGTATATTACTTATACTACAATTGTGGATATACTTTATACTGCATAATATTTAGTATAGTAATAGGCTATTACTATTATACTACCGGTATACAGATATTACCATACTAATATTAGTAATAAATTTGCCCCTTTTTTATAATTGATAGTGAAAAAAATTCGATAATAACTCATGACGGTTCAGTATACTAATAGTAATATTAATATTAATAATAATAATAATAATGAAGTTCATTTCAAAAACACGCTTCATCCCCAAAGGCTCGAAGCGCGGTACAATGTCAACAAAATACAAATCTATAATTTACCACATTTAAAACAAACGCAACTCTACAAAAACTAATTACTAGCATACAATTGCAAAGTCTTTCTAGCCATTTCAACCCCAATATTAATAGCCTACATCCAACAATAATTTTTCACCAGTCTAGATCTAATGCATTATATGATTATTCGCAGATTTCGGTCTGCCGATAATGCTAAACATTATTCACAGAGCTGTGCGGATAACGCTCGCCGTTATTCACAGATTTCGGTCTGCCGATAACGCTAAACGTTATTCACAGAGCTGTGTGAATAACGCTTCCCTTTATGTTTTATAATTATTGAAGCAAATTATAAGGACTTAAGTAAAATTATTATTAAAATCCATTTTTAAAATTGTACCGTACATAATTAAGACAATCAAACTACTTTATTATAATACAGCAAATATTTATTTAACTGTTTGAAAAACGCTTCTAATAATAATAATAGTAATAACCACTGTTTACGTTAGAGATTAACCTCTTCCGGTAAATCGAGTGGACAAAAAATGGCCGCCACCGGCTGTTTTTAACTTTTGGTCACATTTCGGGTCCAATCCTTAATTCGTGCTATAATCTTTATTGTTTTAAATGAGTGATTCACTTTTTGAAATATATGAACTATGTAATTAAGTAGTTTCCAAATGTTACCCCGAGTTTTAAAAAGTAAAAAAACATAGCGAAATCACTTACCCAACGTCCACTTTCGATTTAATCGTCTCATCGTGGTCGGATTTCCCTTATATTTATATCCTCGTAACCATCATGCACCGCGGATTAAAATAAAAATAAGCAGGTTAATCTATTTTAAGAAATGACGCAAAGCAACGCTAAACCCCGACAACTACCGAAAACGGTCAGCGCCAGCTGATCACAGCGATAGGCGGCGAATAGCCCGCGTCTTCCAACTGCCCGCGAAGCGAGTATTGGAGTACCTACGTTTAGTTTTTATAGTTTTTTACTTTCCATATAATTATAATTACACAAAATTTCAATTAACTATAGACTTTATCCTAGCATTGTGAGCCATCATTTGCCTATATTCAATTCCTTAAATTAACAATAGTTAAAAATAATATTTTATAAATAAACATTGTACCATTCATATTCTTAGGTGTTCTTAGATTTTTGTTTTAAAATGACAAATGTGTGTCCTGACTTGCCAGAATTAACATGCTCGTATTTTAAGTAACCTTAATAAGATTTTGTAAATGGTAGAGTGGATTTCTCCACTGGGTCATAGATTTAATCTTCACTGATTTGACTTCAACTTATTTATTAAATTTTAGTTGAAAATCAAAATCAGGTTTTCTTAACTTTACTATTAAAGCCATTGATACCAGCTGACTATTGAAAATAGTGGATACTTTTTTATTTTTCAGAATCATATTCATAAGGCAGACAAAATTACTATGGACACATGTTTATGGAACAATAAACACTACGAATACTTTTAAAAATACACACATTCAAGAAATAGAAAATAAAGACAAGGAAATAACATATAGACTCATATACAATATGACACCAGTCTCATCAAGACCATATAAGGTCAGAGTTAAGCACATAGAATGTCCACTCTGCAGGACAGGGGCTGATGAGACAGAACAACATTTATATCTGACACGCAACACAATATTACAGACTAAATCTAAACAAATCATACAAGCAGGTACAGTTCACCCATATCTGATATAGACAGAGCTATAAGACTAAACACAATACCAGCATCCAAAAACCACAAACAACACACACTAAGTCTAATATTCCTTTCACAATACAGAAAACATGTGTGGCACCACAGACTTATGGCTTTTTGTCACAAACATAATTTCACAAACATTACATTAGAAACACTTTTTAGATTTAAAATACAAAACATTATTCAAAACATAAGTTAAGAAATTATAATGACAAAATAATACATTCAAATAATTTGTTTATCATTCCAATTCATTTAGACATCATGTTAAAATTCATAATAGAAACAAATGTTTAATTTTAGTACACATTGTTTATTAGAATTTCAGTAACTATTATGTCAGTAGGTTATTTCAGCACATGATGTAAAACTTTGTTCATTTGACACTTTGTAAAATTTGCCTGTAAATAGTTTACTCTATATGTAAATTGAATAAGTTTGATTCAATAAAAAAAAAAAAATTACCATTGATAGATTTTTTACTGCCTTGTCCTGTCAGGAATAGGATTACCCAGTTATATTTATAGTTATAGAAGAAAAGGAGAAAAAAAATTTCGAATGCCCGTACTGTTGTCACAACCTGGGTAAGGTTTGCTTTTCAACACCGGTTTTGGGGGCCATGTAAGCAAAAAAAAAAACATTTTATTTTTTAATAATCGAGGCTAATTTTGTAAATTAGAAAAGAAGAAATTTCTCAAAAATAATAAATAGAGTATTGTTACATAACGTTCCTTTCTACCACCCCACCCCATATAACACAATATAAGAAAATTATACAGATCACCCTACCCGCCTACCCCCATCCTGTTATAATACGTGCACGGTAGCCCTCTAAAATTTAAATATGGAAATTGATTGGAAGTAGAAAAATCTCGTAGAATAGAATTATCCTCTTTTTCTCATATTAAAATCGAATCTTTTTACTTTAAACGTGAGAATAATCAAACCTCTTAGGTTGGAGGAGCGGAAAGGGAATGAAGGGGAGAGGGTACGAATGTACATTTTGGGGGGGGGGATGTTGGAGGTTATGGAGAAAGCGGACTAGGCTAGAGAGGGTTGGAAAGCTGATGGAGTGGATGCATGATATTTTTTTTTTGCGGGTGGGTGGGGGGAGGGGGCAACTAGTAGACTTTAGAAGGTGGATAGGGAATACAACAGCTGAAGTGGCGGATGAAGATATGAAGTGATAATTCCTTGTTTCAGAGTACAAGACAAAGGCTAGTGACAAAGACATAGTTTCATATATAGGCTTGCTATCTTGGTCTATGCATCCTGGTTTGACCGGGACTGTCCCAGTATGGCTCTGGCTAGTCCAAGCTGGTTGGATTTGTGTCGCAGTTTCAATATCACACTCAGTGTATTAAAAAAAAAAAATTCAGAGGAACTTATCTTAATGGGTGCTGAGTGGCCGAGCGGTCTAAACTGTCTCAAACCAAATAGCTGGTGGTCTGGAGTTCAATCCCCACCAAGGCCAACATCACAAGCACCCCGGGTGGATGGGACTCGTTAGCCTTGGACGGCAACCCATCTAAGAGAAGGCAAACTCTAAATTTAAACCAGGATCGTGGGCCCCTCAAATATAAAAAGAAGAAGAAGATGTCATAGCCTACAGCATCGTTCGTGAAAAAACAAAGAAAAAGAAAATACAGTTAATAAATCTCACACTGACACCACTGGTCCTTAATCCCGGTGCAATTTTTCAACTTTTCTAACGGGCCGCCAAACAAACGCTGGCCTACAACACATTCACAAAATAAATTGTTAAAATCAAATTTTCCCACTTTATCATTATTAGGCTACAGTTAGATTAATTGTTAACTCTTTATTACATCTATAAATGACATCTCTAACTATTATCACAAATCGTAACAAAATTGCACCCTCGTCACCATTATGTGAGCCCCATCCCCCCAACTAGGTGAGCGACGTGATTTATGGATGCCCATCATTAGTTTTTTTGTTTGTTTTTGTAAACGGAGCCACTTCTAAACAATGGCGGATGGCTCTAGAAACTACCGCGGCAAAATCAAAGATGTACCTAGATCTGTACCTAGACCACGGAGATTTACTCCTTATTCGGTAAAATAGTTTACAAAATCATAGCGTAATTATTTAATTTAGTGGGCGCTAAATCAGTAAGCTTTTGTGTACACATTCTTTTCTAGTTCTAGCATATGTTTATTTTAACTGGGGGGCGTCCATTAATTTATATTTAATAAATTAATTACTATTACCTCCACAAAATAGGGGGGTGGGGTGGAAATGTTTGACATGTGTTGACAAGGAGGGGGGGGGGGGTTTAGATTAGTTGACGTCAACATTCATGTTTTCTTTTTAAAATTTTAATCTTAAAAATTGACTGTTATTACATTAATTTAAAAACATTAAAAAAAAAATGAGTGTAAATTAAATTATTATAGTCACAATTAATTTATATTTAATAAATTAATTACTATTACCTCCACAAAATAGGGGGGTGGGGTGGAAATGTTTGACATGTGTTGACAAGGAGGGGGGGGGGGTTTAGATTAGTTGACGTCAACATTCATGTTTTCTCTTTAAAATTTTAATCTTAAAAATTGACTGTTATTACATTAATTTAAAAACATTAAAAAAGAAATGAGTGTAAATTAAATTATTATAGTCACAGTCATAGACTCATAGATCTATAATTTTTAGGGTTAACAATATAAATATAAGTCAGATTTATTTGAATTTGTCTGTCTAGTGTCTGTTCATTGCAGATGGATGGTCAGAATGTTAGCACACTTTGTTAGTGCAAGAGATGTCAAAAGTTGGCCTCTCTTCACCTGTAGATTCTGTTTGTTGCAAATTACTAACTAGAGCAGTTTGTTTGTAATCATGTATCTTTCCAGTGTCATGTGCAGTCAAGATAAATGATATTGATAGAGTAGGAATACGATATTTTGAGAATTAGGGGAAAGTAAAGTGAAAAATAATAATAATAACATCACTGCTTGAACAGATAGTGATAGTGATAGCCTATGCAAAATCATTCAAAATGCAAAATCTGTAGACTACAGTGTAGTAAATTAGTAAATTTTGCCTGTGTTGAGTGTATAGTATGTAGGCTTAAATAAAGAATCGACATGTGAAGACTTGGACATCCTAATAGTTCACAGGCATGTGAGAAATATTTAGTAGTCAACACCTATATTATATTCTCTAAAATATCCGCTCAGGTCATGACAAGTTATAATAGTAACAGAACACTACAGTGATATCAGTACCAGCAGAGAGAAAGGTTACAATTAGGGGTGTGCCGGATCCGTTTTTTCCAACCGGATCCGGATTTTCTTATGCGAAATCCGCCGGATTCGGATCCGGATTCCGGAATAATCCGGATTCCGGTTTCTCCCGGATTCCGGATTTTGGTACTATTGGTAGATACTTCGGTAAGTCAAGGTGGACTACTACTTTTTGTGTATGGGAATTCGCAATCGGCGCCAAAAAATCCGAGTTTTTAATTTTCCGATGTGTGTGTCTATTTATTATTAAATTAGTACTTTCGATATATATTTGAGTTCCGTTCCATTTGGATAAGTGTCTTACGAGAGACGCCATGTTTCTACGCGTTCGCAGCAGGTCATGCAGCTCGCTCAACCTAATTTCGCCATGGGGTTGGCCACGCCCCCCTTTTTAATGGCGGAAGTTGACGATACTTAGGAAATATTAATTTATTATCACTATTTACATCAAAATAATTGATAACTTGTGTTTCAGAATGCATTTAAAGACATTTAAACTGGAATGTTTTAATTTGAGCTTTAACAACCCGGTAGAATCCATATTATAAATGATCAGAATTTACCGTGTGCAACACGTTGTCATTGGCAACCATTCACAGCCACTTGCATAACTGTATCGTAGTACTACCTCAGAGTTTCATTCATAAGAGTTTGCCGTGTGCAAAAACTATTAAACCATTGGTCAGGGAAAGCTTTAATTAATTATTCATGTGCCAAAGTTGAAAGTTTAAACTAAGTCTAAACAGTATTTTAGTGATAAGGCAGGGAATGCGTTGCCTTATATAAACTATATAGTCATTGCGCATGACGGGATTGGTGGAATGAGATCACAGAATGTGGAGATGCAGTCCATGTTAAAAAATGACAAACCAAGTCGTACTTTAAAAATTCATAACTTTAAAACTACAACAGCTAAAAATATGATTTTGGTGTTATAATTCTTTAAAAAATTACATCTTTTCAACTATGCCATTGGTTTATTTTTACAAAAAGTTTAAATTTTCTTATCAAAGTCCCTACACTATTGGCCACTATTAGCGGTGCTGACTCTAGCCTCTGGTATGTACGGAATATTAAACATTAAACAAGCTCAACGCTCGAAACAATCGATTAATGTATCGTGATCGTGTGGAATTCGGGAAAGAGAATTACTTTTATTTCAGATTATGATCCGGTGAGTCACAAAATCTGGCAAATTCCGAAATCCGGTATATTCCGGAATCCGGTTGTTCCGGATACATGTAAATCCGGCGGAACCGGATTTCACCGGATAGTGCAAAATCCGGCGGAACCGGATTCCGGACCGGATTCCGGCACACCCCTAGTTACAATTATTTAAGAAAAATGAAATTTAAACATGTGTAACATTTAATGCTCTGATTTTCATACAGTCGTCTGGCTAATGAGCCATTTATCACCAATGACCAATGATGTATTATTGTATGATGCTATTTCAGAGCAGCTAGGAATCTAATTGCCATTCACATGTCAGCTTCAGTTTACTACCATGTTTGTGAGAAGACAGGTTGCTGTTACAGAAAAATCTCAAAACTTTTTTTCCTTTTTCTTTATTCATTTCCAAACTTTAGAAGTTGACCATGTCTTTTCAAGCTCCTTAAAAGTTTATGAGCAAGTTTAATTATGAAACTTTCTATCTGTTGGAATAGATGCAGAAATTTATGTTCCTATGTTTGATTTTTTTTTTCTTGTTTCTTTTTTTCAAAATATAAAGAATTAAGTTGGAAACTTCCAAATATTTTCCTTACATGCATTGTGTTAATTAATGAGGTGCATTTAATGGTACATGATGTAACTTTCAGAAAAATAATTTCTTTTTGCATTCAATATAAATGAAAAATGCCATTAATTGTGCCTAATAAACTATGCATTAGTATAAATGGTTTTGGCCTAAAGTCGGTAGACTGTAAAACAACAGCATTTGTAAAATATAATATATGAAGCATAGCAGTAAAAAAATAAATAATTATCTGTTGTAGCATGAAAAAGATGTAATATTGAGTTTGCATCTTTTTTGTTGATTTCCACTGAAAAATGCTTAATGCTTTGATTGAAAGATATTTTTTATTTCAAACTAATTATTTACAGTGTTTACTTTTCTAAGGAAAACCTTTAAAAACTGCTTAGAACGCAGATGAAAAAATACAGACAAAATAATGCAACTGACATAACATGACTGTGACAGATATAATGTGTCTGAATGCAAGCCATAAAAATAGAAGAACAATAATGTCAATTCTTTTACAGAATTACAACTACTTCATTGTAGCAGTTAAATGAACATAAATAAACATACATAACAATGTTTTAATGTGTATCCATCATATGACATTGACTATGGCAATGAAAATTGTTAGTCTATATTTATTAGATGTAAATACTATAAAATTCAACAAGATTTCTATTTATTAAAATGTGCGGACATGTACATGTTCTTAATTCAAGATGGCCACCAGGTCATACGTCACACAAAACAAAAATACTCAAAATGACTCCATGCATGAAATATAAAACCAAATTTTATGCAATTTAATTTTTGGATGTTGTGTCCTGGTTTTTACATGGAATTTACCTTGCTATATTGTTTATCACAAAAATTTGGGACTGATGATGGTTATTTTGTTTGATTTTTTAAATAAAAAAAGTTAAATACACTTTTTTCTTGTTGAAAATCATAAAAAAAATTTTTTATCTCATATATTTAAAAAAAAAAAGAAAGGATGTCAAATGGAACTATTTTCTCATCCCTTAGTCAGAAAATGGCAGTGAAGTTCCAGATTCAGCAGTTTCAAAACATTATTGAAATTCCTATATTAAACTTAGCAGCAATTAAGAGTTGATCCAAAGTATAAAAAATATTTTTTTTCCCAGAGTATAACAATATCCTTCACTGAATCAAGATTAACTTTTAATTCATAGGTTACTCAGAAGGAAGCTGGACAAACATATGATAAGATTCTTGCCACTATTTATGGACATGTCGTAGGTGATGCCATTGGTCATCTTACGGAAACATTGTCCAAGGAACAAGCTTCTAAGGTTGGCTTTAAAATTCTACAAACTGTTGTAAAATTTGTTACTTTTATCAAATTGAACATTATTTATAAGCAATATAATGAAAGTTAAGAATCTAGGAGAAAATCATTTGGCTGAATTCATATTTTAAATTAAATTGTAAAAGTGTTAAGTTAAGCATAAAAAATGTACCTGTTTTAAATTTTTTTAAAGGGTTAAAATTAAAAGTATATGACTATATATATATGTATATATAGAAATTTATTGTAAAAATGTAAATTGCTATTCCCTGCGGATAGGATTGTATATTGTAGGTCTAATGTTAATTGCTTGTTTGTTGAATATCCCTAAGAGTAACTACAATTGTAATATTTTAAACCTTTTTAAATAAATTTATTTTAAAAAAAAAAATGATATTTTGGATGTATTAAATTATAGGCTTTTATGTAATTTGATTCAGTTAATAAATTGGTTTGATTTAACACAATTTTTTTTTTTTCAATTTAAGGACTTTTTGTGTGTGCATCATACCGCACCAAAGAATTAATGGACATTTTTTAAGTTAGGATGTGAACATTTCTTTTCAACTGACAATTTTAAAATAAATTTTTTATCTTTACTATAAAATTTGTAAAAAAATTAAGATAACAAAGCATATTGATAAAATTTAATAGATTTTAAAAAAAGTTACTTCTCCCTTAAGAAATATACAAAAGGTAGAGGAAAATCTGAAGTGGACAACACAAAAAAAACCAGACGATTTGGCCAAAGATCCTTCAAAATTCAAAATAGAATATGTCTATCAGTTTCTTTCAACCACATAACTTTACAACAACCTAAGAGCATTTGTCTCTGTGTTTCTTTGCTGTTGAATGTTTTTTGGTTGAAACATACACTTTTTATGTGGTCCTATTCAGGTTTCCTCTACCCTTTGTATATTTCTTATTGCTTCAACTTGAACACAATCCTCACTGTAATTCTCTTACTATTCACATAAAATGGTATTTGCAATCAGTAGGATTTTGAAAAGCTGTACAAGAATTTGTGATTTAAAAATGAGTACAGACAGATATCAGTAAAACTTAATATGTTTAATGTCATCCATAGGTATATGGCTCAGTGTCCAAGGAACTGGAGCTTGTTCACAAAAAGTTGCTGAATGATACAGTCCGTAGGAAATGGTCACTTGAAGATTGGACAGAAGAATCTGATATGATTCTTATTATTTTAGAGTCTTTAGTGTATTGTAAAGGTCAGGTAAGTTCAACTGATCTATATTGTGATGGCTTCTTGGCATACCCCATCTCTGTGACACAATGATCCTTAATCATTGGCACCCTAATAGTTTCCTATAAAATAAAAATCACTGGATGGAGATGATGAGAGGCGAAAAAAGTTTGTTTTAAATTATTTGCTCTGGATCTAATAACTAAGTCTGAAACTGCTTTGTATTAAAGTGTAGCACCACTGCTGCTGCATTAATATGCTTACTCTGTATTTTTGCCCCCCCCCCCAAAAAAATACTCAAAATATTTATATATTGTCACAAAAGCCTTGTATTTTACTATTTTAATTATTTTTTAAACGCATTATTAATTCAGCTGCAATAGGAAACTAATGTAATTAAAAATTGTGTGTTATTGATGAACTTTTAAATTTAGATAAATATTTTTGTTACTTTGATATGTGCAATAATTAAAATTTTAGAAATCTAACTAAATTTAAAACATTTAAAAAAAATTAACCCCTCAGGTGGATGTAATTGACCTTGCTAAACGTTTAATGGACTGGTGTGAGCGAGGTTTTCCAGAGCTTAATGATGTATGTGGTCATGGATTGGATTCTTACACAAAATCTGTCATTACACATCCACAGTTTTCAGAGGCGCCAAAAGATGTACAGTATTTTTTTATCAATTATTTTCTGTAATTTATAATTAAAAATGTCAAATAATAATTTCATTTTTTCCCCTTACTACTTAAATTCTATTCTTATAGATTAATCTATAGTCTACACATCTATAATAAACAATCCAAAAATCATAAAAAAGAAGGAAAAAAGATTTGCCTTTAAAAATAATAAATAAAGAGATATATTTGCTGTGAGAATTGTGCGACTAAACTATTAAGTATTACTATTAGTACGTTAGTTTCTTTAACAACCATCTGGTTTAAAGGCTTGGATCAAGGGGTCCAACTTATTTTAAATTAAACCATCATTTCACGCAAATAATTTAATACCTAAGAATCTATAGATTCCTCTCTGAATTAATTGTTTGACAAGTTTACAAATTAATCTGTGAAATTTATACCAACAAATTCATGTGTAGTACTTTTGACTTAGCATTCCTGAAATAAAGTTCACATTTTATACATTTGCAGGCAGCTGAGATATGCTGGAGGCAGAGCCCTAAACAGTTGGCTGCTGGAAACAGTGCTGTGACACGCAGCACTGTGCTTGGCCTTCATTACTTCACTGCACATGCTAAGGTTATTCAAAATACTGTGGAGGTGTGTTCTGTTACACACTCTGATCCCAGGTAGGTGGGGGACTGCTAAGTTGAATTTAAGTTATTATAACTATAGTCATGTCATGTTATTTATCAAGTAATGAATACTGAAGATACAAATGATGATCTGAACCATAAAAAAAGATTATCAAAGATTAACTAAATTGTAGATCAGGCATGATATCTTTAAAAATGCCAAGTTACCTGCTGTATAAAAAAGTTCTCAAAGTACTGTCTTCCTGATAGTTTTAACATTGAAAAACAAGCAGTACTTATGGTATTTAAGATGAACATCTTACTTTTCAAGACAAAATTAAAGACATACATTATTTTTTTCAACTATAATTAAATGTATTTTTTAGAATTCTAGCAACATTTTAACCCTCAAACTGTGCCATGCATCATTCTGTAGTGTGGGAGCGTTTCAGAGCTTTTTGAGTGCCTTTTGAAATTGCATTAAATGACATAGAAATATTGATACAAGACCTCAATAAGTGATATTTTTAGAAAGGTAAATGGATGGGGATAAAGTTGGCTATATTGCCCACCCCGTAAAAAAATTTTTGCTCAGTGTCCTTGACCTTGGAATGCTCAAGAAAAAAAAATTGACAGAATGTCTTGCTTTCAAGTGCTCATAACATCATTTTTATAGATACAATTAAAAAAATAATTTTAAATGTTGTATCTTTCAGAAAATGTATAGTTTGCTAAGGTTTTGATTACAATTAAACCTCTGAAAGCAATTTTAGTAATTTTGGATCATTTATTATTGAAAAAAATAAGAAACAAGGACCACTGCTAAAACCAAGTGCAACATACAAAATCTCTGGCAAAATAGTTATTATTGACTAGTAAACATTTAAAAAGGAGCTGTGGAACTGATTTTGATTGTTTAACTCTTTCGATGCGGAACAACGCACACTGCGTTCTTCCGCCGTTCTCAAAAGCACGGACCAACGCACTGTGCGTTGTTTCAATATCATGTTTCTTTCTTTGCTATTTCTCGGTTAAACTTTTTGAGAGCTATTTTTAAATAAGACTTTTACATAGAAGAGTGGCACTTCATTGTTTACAATCGAAACCAAGGCTCATTTATTGTCAATTGAAGCATTATTTTGACGATTTTCTTCGCGTTTTTTTTTTTACTGTTGCTATGGCTACCCTAGGCTCTAGTAGGTAAGTTTCCTAGACGATTAACAGTTAAAAAAGCTTTGAAATTGTTTTATAATATTTCTTTTGACAGCGAAGATGATTTATATTTAGATACATCGCATGATTCCGATGGTAGTAGTTTTAGAGGAATTGAGTTATAGATTTGAAGATGAGGTATGCGTATATCATTGGGTTTGAGGAAAAATGGTTTAGCATAAAATGTTTTCACATTTTATGGTTCTTTCGTATAACTTATTTTTTTTTAACTGTAGAAACTAGTGTACAAATATATAGTCCTTTCAATTACCTTTCATTTGATACTAAGTTTAGTCTTATAAACCAAAGAATAATATTTTAAATATTTTTTAATCAACCCAACCTCTCACTCTTTTTCCGCTCTTTGAAAAAAATGTACATTTTTTCGATGAAAAAATTCCGCAGCGAAAGAGTTAACAATAAAATTTAATAATTCTGATCTATAATCTGTAGCTTCTGTGACTAAAATTCAGCCAGTCCTTGCCCAACCTCCAGGCCTGGCTCGAAGTCGAACAGTAGGCCTACTTCAGTATCACTAAGACTAGTATCAAATTCACAAGAAGAAGAATCTGAAGTGAGATGTAATGGGGAATGTTAAAATCATCATCAGTATCACTTAAATCCTTTCCCCTAAGAAGCTTTCAAAAATATTTCAATTAGTTCTCGCACTGAAGGCCCAGCCATGGCTTCATCCATTTTAGATTTTTAAAAAACAAACCACTGATATAAAACTCTGATTAAAAAGTACGTATTGTTAAGTTATCAAGAAACAGATTGATCCGGAAGTTGATTTAATTATTAATAAAATAAAGTGCCTATGATTCCAGTTAAATATTGGATTGGACGTTGCTATCGGACAGTGTTTTTAATCGGCCGTCAAAGTAAAGAATGGGAATATCGGCCGATTTCTTCGGCCGACCACAGATCGAGGGTTAAAATGAAATACCGCAGTTAAGACTGTTCTGTGATATCTCCAATGACGGGAAGAATTTTTAATTAATATTTTTAGAAAATTAGGTTAGAGAAAAATGCAGTCCTTAATTTAATGAAAAAGTGACAACACAAGTGAGTTTAACATTCCCAATTAGATGAAAAATTTTATATTTTAAATCGCATATTTTTTCATGTATTTTTTTCATAAATTATGAGTTTAAATATTCTAAAATCTGCAGGTTTTGAATTCTATATACGCTTTAATGTTCCGTTTCCACTTTCTCGTTTGTAGCAAAACAAATAGTGCTTAAAACCTATGGCACCATTCAACCTATCTCTAAATATCTTCTTAACTCATCATTTAGATTTGATTGATCATCTGAAATTTTATATAAAAGTAACTAAATGTTTTTGAAGGTGTAAAGCGTCCTGTGTTGCTGTTACAACAGCTATATCACTCATGTTACAAAAAAAACATGTTAAAAAGAATGGACTTTTTGACATGGATGAAATCATAGACGAGAGCTACAGATATGCTTCAAACTGTTTACTGGGCTGTCCAGTTGAAGAGGTAAGAGATTGTTCTTCTAATACTAACATAGTTATCCTGGTTGAATTACTGTACAAATTTAATGTAATAGATTATCTATTGAATCAATGTTTTTAATTTTTTCCTTCTGAAATCCAATGCAAAATTTTGATAAAACTTGCTTTCAGGTATAAACTTCTTTTTTTAAACTTCATTTTTATTTTTGAATCAGGTAAAACCTTAATAAAGGTTTTGTAAATAAAAAAGATTGACAAGTTATAAAGATCTCAAATTAAAATAACTTGATTTTTTTTTTTCCACTGTTCCTTAAAAAGGGGGTGGGAGAAATCCTTTACACTGTTCCCTAAAAAGGGGAGGGAGAAATCCTGTAAGACTTCAGCAAATTATTTTATGCCATTCCCTTACCATTCAATATACCAGGAAAAACTATCCTATGCTCACACCTTTGGGTAGCATGGTATTGTCAATTAAAGGGAAAACATATTTCTTCTTCATCATCAGTTCTGTCAAAAATATTAATGTTTTGTTTTAAAAAATACTTTTAGTAATTGCTGAAGAAGTAGATACGACAATTTATGTTAACAATTTTTTTTACACATTCAGGTAACAAATATGGTTATCTAACTGGTCTCTGATTTTTTTTTTTTAGATGGCCATTTATCCCAATGGTACTAAAGTGAAGAAAACAGACATTTTCACTTATGCATAAAATGGATTATATGATTTTCTTCATTCATAGAAATGACACTTAGATCATAACTGTTCATCTAGCTTTAAATGTACATGTGCATAGTAGATTATAAAGTGGGTCAGCTGTTTTGTAGTCGTACTCAAATATACAAATCTTAGTGTGGTGCGATATGATTAGCTGAAAAGATGCTCTTAATTGTTGCTGATTGTATTTCAAAGAAAACATGTCATAAAATGTACATAATTTTTTCATTCATGAAAGTTAAAGTCATTGAAGAAAAGCTTGCATTCCACTTCATTGAAAGATCTCAAGTTAGGAGATGTAGGCAACATGTCTTTCACATACAAGGCTGTTGGTGCTGGTTTCTGGGCTCTTAAACAGAAAGACTTCAGAACAGCTATTCAAGACATTGTGATGGAGGTAAATATAACACAAAGTTATAACTTTGCATCTAAAACACTAGTTGGCATTTTTCTTTAATTGGTTAACTACCATGAGCCGCTGGGAGCGTTTCTTTCGTTATGGCCTCTAGGCGCTGGTCGCGCCAATGTTAGTATCGTACTAAGTTGAGTCAAAAATTTATATTATTCCATTCCCGTTTCGCTTCGAGATTTTAATTTACAGACCAGATATTTATATTCGAAACGCATGCTATCGGCAGAACGTTTTAAAAAACAAAATGTTAATTAGTTTTGATTTAATTTCCTAGCTAGTTACAAAACTGTACATGTTTACCGTGGCAACAAGTGACAGGGTTTCTAAAGATTGGAAGTGAAAATATTTTTCAGTTTCTGTGTTTTTTTTTGTTGCATTTTTCTTATTATTGAATATACTATTTGGAAACCACCAAATAAAAGGCTATAAATGATAAGGAAATTTAAAATTTATACGTAAGTTGGCACATCAACATATTTTGTAATGTTTTTCTATTGAAAATACTAATTTAACAATTAATAATTTCCTAACAAAACTTAACTTTAGAAATGTTTTGAGTTTATATTATAGATAATTCAATTACATACAAAATGGTTTATTAATTATAAGAATATGTTTATAATTAAGAAAACTGCAGCTGAAATTGTACATGCACTTAAAATTAGAAAATATGACCAAGATTTAATTCGGCCACAGCGGGTTTTTCAATCTGGCAGTTAATCAGGTAATCAGCATTAACCCTTCACGTTTAGAAAATTGTTAGGATTTTCTAATTACTTTTGTTGAATAACCCCAAGGGAAAGTAGACAACATAATTAACAATGTTGTGCCTCATTAAAAATTATAGTTTTCTTTAATTTGTATTTTATTTCCTTAATGAGTTGAAAACCTTTGCTCAACCATACAGGGAGGTGATTCAGACGCCAATGCTGCTGTGGCTGGAGCATTGCTGGGGTGTAAATTGGGTTTTTCTGCTATTCCCCAATCCTGGATAAATGGTCTTCGCTACAGGAGCTGGCTAGATGATTTAGTAAACAGGTTAGAGATTTTAATTTTAACCTCATTGTGCCAATGCCTATAGGGAAAACATAAATGAAAATTTTTCTGTGGTTCAAATGAATAAAATGAGCTGAAAGTGTTGCAGATTCAAATTTAAACACAAAAACTGTAGTGGTGTAGGGTCTAAATCAGTAGCATTTGCAGCTTCAATAAAAATTGAGATGTTTTGAAGCCATATTGACCTAAGGAAATAGACAGCATTAACAGGAGCTGATTCCATGGTAAGCTCCTACCATGCAGTGAAATGAGATCATACAAATTCTGAATGTTGGATATCTATAATCCCTGGAGTTCCTTTTTTTTTTTTTTTTTTTTTTTTTTTTTTTTTTTTTTTTTTTTTTTTTTTTTTTTTTTTTTTTTTTTTTTTTTTTTTTTTTTTTTATATAAAGCTGACTTGAAGGATATTGTAAGACAGTTTTGCAGACTTACTAACCCCAATATTATTGATTTTGAAGCATTTTGTATAATAATATTCAAAGCAAAAAAGTTACTGATGTTGATGGAAATCTGTATGAGGAATACCTCTATTTAGTCGGGTGCTCATCCTACCCTCTTTTTGCAAATGCAAGTTTGTTCTACAGCTGTGGTGGCCAACCCTTTAAATATTGCAAGCATCACAAATGAACTTATTTGTAAATCCTTTATCTTTAAGCACTTTGCTTTTGTTAGTGTGTTTCTGTCTTTCTTTGTGGCTGCAAAATCATAGGAAGGCTATTCGATCCACTTCCCATCATCCTATCGAGCTAAAACTTGGCACATAGACTCATTGCCAATTATAACAAATTCTATTAAATTTTCAGCCCCACCCCCAACAGTCAGTTTTTCAGGGGGAATGAATGTTAATGATTTTTCCATGGGTGGATGTTTTGGTGTGGAGGTTATGCAGCTGTTGCTATGTGCTTTGTATTTGTGATGTATTTGGATATGCAGTAAAAATAAAATGTATTTTTGAAGGGGAAAATGAAGGAAATTTGAAAAGTTTTTCGCCAGAAATTTACCCATTTACATAACCGCTTCTTAATAAATGTTAAATCACGTACAATTAAACAAATGCATACAAAAATGCATAAAAAGGATTTATAGAAAAAAACTTTGTTTTTAGGGGTTGTTTAAGTTCATTCAATTTAGGATTCTTTGCTTAAAGCCACATTAATATGTAAAGGAAATAAGTAAAGCATCTTTTTTTGGACTGATATGTAAAAAATTAGTTTCAAATTATTCATGTCATATCCTAAATAACAATTTAAAAACAAATATTACTATTTAGTAACTACCAAAATTAAAGGATTAATATAACCAGATTGTCAAGTGAAACTAAATTTGCACTAGCATTTCTTCTGAATGATGTAAAACTAAATTCAGATATATGCCAAAATGGATCCCTGTATAAATTTTAAAAGATCCAGACCTCCCCTAACCCTACTTTTGCTATTGATCCTTCGTTTGCTGTTCCCCACTCCTATCAATTGTATTAGCAAATGACCAGGCACCTTTGCATTTGCAATAAAGCTCTACATTATAATCATATACATAAATATTAAAGAGAGATATTTTGATTTAAATCCATGCTATTTATTTATGTATAGTGGCATGAGTTGACGTGTTATCATTTGTGTACATTGTTTTTATCTTCTTTATTAGGTGTAATCATGACCTTAGAGCGCTGTGAGCATGCTAAAGTAGCAATATAAAAATTCAATTTAATGACATGTGACCAACGAAGAGATTACTCGTGATGCCATTTGGATTGGCCATCCCTGGTCTGCTGAAACTATAAGTCTTTATCAATTGATAAGATTTATTACTAAGTATAGGAGATACAAGTGCAAGGCTTAATGTGTTCTGATATAGCTGACCAATACTGACTTTAAAGGGCTTTATTATCATTTTGAATCGGCTTAATTTGTTTGTTTTGTTGTAGTTAGTGTTGTTGGTTTATTTATTTATTTAGGCATTTTTATATAGCGCTTACCATAAAGCTCTAAGCGCTTTACAATTATTAAAAACATGTAAACTAAGTAAAATAAAAATGAGATACTAGGATAGTAACTACTATACTATAGAAACAATGAAAATGGCTATAAAACGAGGACACTTTGACACGTTTTGGCCTATACTTCAGGATCAACCCGAAACAGAAAATGAGGCAGGGCAAAGAGGGTGCATCACAGGTCATAGGCGGACAACTTAGCATTTATTATGTGACTGTTCTTACAGAACTTAATCACAGTTCTTTATCTTTACACCAGATATCTGCACATGATGGAAAGAGGCAAGGCCCTGCCAAAGTCTGAGTCCACAGTCTGAGGTTAACATTCCAAGTCTTGCATGCCACGTATAGTCAAGTCTGAGGTTAACATTCCAAGTCTTGCATGCCACGTATAGTCAAGTCTGAGGTTAACATTCCAAGTCTCGCATGCCATGTATATTTATGCACATATCATGAACAATATTTATTAAATTTTGTATGATTCTTTCATGATGGAATTGTAAAATTATGAACCATATATACACCAGATATTTTACAAATAAAATTTTTAACACAACAAAACTCTGATGGATTGATTTCATATTGGTGTATTTGAGGCTTGAAGCTCCTATTAATTTGCTATACAGACATGACATGGGTTCAGCGTTTATAGATGACTTGAAAAAAGAAAACCAAGTACTGGATTCAGTGGTAATGGTTTTATTTGGTGTTCTTTTCTTGTCAAATTTATCTCTTAATAATAAGATATCTCTTAATAATTACACAGAAACATTTGTTTTTCTTCAAAGTTTATGTCACTAAATAAATGGATTGAATTGGGACATCACAGGATGTTGTTATTTTTTAAAATCATTTATTTATAAGAAACTATTGTAACATTTATTGTTGATGTTTGATAGTTTTGGAGACATTAGGTAACAAACACATGTGAAAACATTTTAGTCTTACTAAATAAAAAAACCTTCATAACTATATATTCCACCCTTGGGTGTTAGAATTGTTGCTGAAAATAATTTAAAGTGAGAACCTTCGTCTGATGACCTTATTCCTAAAATTAGATTTTGTATTGAAGATAATGCTGTGCAATGGAAATTATTATCTCTAGACAAGTTAAATGAGGAAATATTTAGAGATGATCACGATTCAGTTTATATATTGGTGTAGATGCAGGGGGTTAATAGGAGGAGAAGCAGAAGGTCAACTGTGGAACAAGACTGTGGTCTAGAGAAAAGGACGATCAGGCAGAGCATGACCCGGGGTGGGGGCGGCGGCCACCACCCCTGAAATAAAGGTCATCTCAAAACGACGAGAAAGAAGAAGAGGGTGAAGAGAATGACGTAGGGCAGGAAAGCCTCCGCGAGTCCCACGATGACCACGGAATACATGCACCAGACGAGCATGAGGAGAAAGCGGCCGGGCGTGCAGTCAGTGAACGCTATCCTGGGCAGGTTCATGCGGCCGAACATTTCAGGTATCGAGGCGCTGCTGCTCGTGTTGCCGGTGTCGTTTTCAGAGGCGACGGACGACTCGCTGTCACTGGAAATGTTGTTGTTGTCACGGAGTGCTGCTGCGGCGGAGAGTGTGGATATGATGGTAGTTTTGGGGAGGACGATATCGTTGGCATCAGTTTCAACTGAAACAAAATGCAAAATGTTTAGTAAAAGTACAAAAAAAAAAAAGAATTAACAAAAAAATACTTAAAAATAAAATATCTGGTGATCTGCCATATTCTTGGAATTTCATTTCAGAAAATCGCTTGATGTATTCTAAGAATTTCATGTCTGAAAACCAACTGCTTTATTCTAGGTCTAGGACTTAATTTGTCATAAAAGCATCAGTGTCATAATTCTTCATGTGTAATTCGATGGTTTATCATCAGTTAAACGGCTTGATCCACTTATGACTTACTATCATCGTTGGACTCGGATACGCGCTTCATAACCGCCTCAAAGTATTGGTCTGTAGGACGGAAGCGAACTGAAAATTCCTCACACAGTTCTTGCGGTGCAGCGGTTTTCTTCGTTTCATCAGAATCTTCATCTGTTTGGGTGCAGGTGCTGCGTAGTGCGATGATGGATGAGGACGCAAGCTAAATATTTAAGAAACAATTTTTGTTATACATCAATTGCTGGCAATTTTTAATTTTGTTAATATCTGCGCTACAACTGGAAGGCTAAGAACATCTGCTTTAAAAAAAAAGTGCTAAGAAAATATCCAGACTTCCCATGAGTGCTAAAAGCTGATGAAGTAAGTTGACCAACCTGTTCCATCGAATAATTACGATTACCTATATGTGACCAGCCCATTCTGTGGCTGCCTCTCTTTAAAACTGTTTTAGAATCTCAATTTCAGGGATACGCTACTTTTAAGACTCGTTAATGAAACACAAGGAAGCATGTACCGGTCCTAATACCATGCAACAAGACAGGCGCACAGCAAACTGAAGCTCTACCCATAAATAGTGGAATAGCTAATAGAGTTTGTAACAACTGGGGCCGATCTTGATTTTTGCGCCCCTCTTTTGTGACCCCCCCCCCCCTTCCATGGGCGCCCGCAGGTAGTGGCAAGGTGGGGCACGTGCCCCCCCCCCCCTGGATTGATTGGATAAAATTTTTTTAGACAAAAATAGACAAAAAATGTCTTAAAGTAAAGAGAAAATAAAGAGAAAGTAACTAATCTGATGTCCTGTCCTGTCCGTTCGTTCACCATACAAATACGCTACAGTCAATTCAAAATACATTAAAACATCACTAAAAAAATTTTGCCCCCCCCCCC